TTTCCCCTCACTTCTCAAATTCCTTCCTAACACGAATCAGGCTACCATCTTTTTAATAAATTAATTATTTCTGTATAATTACTTGATCAAAAAAGTTAAGTTATATGTATATTATTGTGTAGAACATCTTAGAAGGTCAGGTTGATTTTTTAGAAAAAATCAAGAATAATTCAATTCAGAAAAAAAATTGGAAAAATGTGATATTCCAGAAAGGAAGAAACCTATTTCGTGGAAACCACATTCCATTTTTATTTATGGAAAAAAAAAGAAAAACTGCTTTTAAGTTTCTTAAATAATTTATTATGGAACTTAGCATTTTATTCTCAATTTACCAGAATTAACTGATATGCATATTTGCATTTTTTTTTTCTTTTTTTTACCGGCATATAAAGTTGGAAGATCGTTGTTGCAACACATATGAGTTGACCGTTTCATATTTTCTGATTTAGCACATACTGAAGGAATCATATGTGGAAAAAAAAGAAGCTCTCATTCAAACCGATGCTATAAAACAATTAAACTGATCAGAACTGATCGGATCAAAATAAAATAGAATGGGCTGAAAATGTTTGGCCACATTTTTCCAAGTATTTTTTGCTCGCACTAATAATACATCTGCCATGAAATTTCCGAAATATTTAGTCATGCGTTTTGTTTGATTTCTCAAATGATATTTGATATTCTGAAATTGTATCAAATTGAATGTCAAAGTATGTTCGTTCATTTAAAAAGTTATATTACTTATTACAAATCAAAAGAATTAATTATTCGAAAATTTAGAATTTGATCGATTCTGATATCTCAGAATTGATTTGTAGTTATATTTGCTTGCCTTTTATTTTCAAATTCAATGAATATGGAATAAATGTGATGCAAAAAAGAAAATAAAAAATCGAAATGCTTTATTTCTGAGAAATGATACAACAGATTTTACTTTTGAAAAGAAAAGAAACGGTAATTTTCAGAAGAAAAGTGATGTGAACAGCAAATTGTATCGATTAAAAATTTAAATGATTCTTATTAGCAGTTCCGATTGGATGAAACATTAAAATAATCGAAACTATAAAATATCGTAAAAAATTTTTGATGGATCAAATGGAACCAAAGATCAGTTAAATTTGTAAACTTTCTTTTATCCAATGAAAAGAAAAAAATTGCAGAAAAAGATACAAGAGAAAAAACCCACCAAATATACAGGCAAACTTTTTTTTGTTCCAAAGTAAATGCAAGATTTTGTGTTACAATGAATTTAATTTGACAAATAGTCATCGTCAACAGAAAAAAAAAAGAAAAAAGAAAATTAAGTTAAATTATGGAAAAAAACACTGTAAATTTTAAGAATACATTCATTTAATATCCCAAAAAATATTTTTATACAAATTATTTTCATAACGAATTATATACACAATCAATCAATAATCCAACTATACGAACATTCACAGTCATTGATGTAGTTATGGATTTTATTGATCGAAATTGCAAAATTTCATTTGAATTTTTACGAAAAGAAAAGATTAATAGTTAATTTACATTTGATTGTGTATCTGATGTGGTTAAATGAAGCTAAGCATAATTGAAGAAATCACAGACGATTGTAATAGTTGGATAGAGTATAACAAGTATTGGTCCTAAAAAGTGTTCACAGGAAGACTAATTTGCTACATGAATACTGAGCTAAAAATTTTTTATTTTTATTTTTTTAAGCAGACCCGGTTGGATTAATATGCATATTTTGTACTTCTTCACATGGCACTGCTGGTAACATACGCCTTCGTGTTCGTGATGTTGTTTGAACATCTAAAATATATTCATTTGTTTTTTCCAAATTTTTTCTTTTTTTTTTTTCAAATTCTGTTTATTCGATTTAATAATGATAATAAGATGATAAGCTAGTATACAGATAAAAAAGCCCATATGCAAAAGGTGAATAGTATCTGAAAAAAAAAAAAAAAAACGAAAGAAAATTTTAATTGGAATTCCTTCATTTACAGTAATAGGATTATCACAAAAGAGGCAAAACAATCATCAATAATTTTAAGTAATTTTGTTGAAATTTTTGATCAAAATTTTCATTCAAACATTTCTACTCCTTTTTACATCCTTCTGTTGATGAATTTCATCATTTTTATCATGCTTTAACAAATATTATTATTCCTGTCTCATTTCTATCTTTCTTTCCCATCTTCCTTTAGTGATAGTTTATGTATGGATTTCGTTGGTGATTAATCTAAAGTATTTCTTTTAAATGAAAAAGGTAATGTGTGTTACGTCATTGGAAATTTATAATAAATAATACCATACTTGAATAACCTCGTTCTGTTGTGGACAATTTTCGATCATCATCACATGAAACGTAACAAATTTGTCGTGGGAATATTCCTTTTGATTTCATATAACTTGTTAATTGTGCAGGTACCTGACAAAAAAGAAAAAAAAAATGAATAAAGTAGTGGCATAAAATCTTATCAGAATAATAAATCGAAGTATTAAAAAAAAAAAAACAAAACACAAATTTTACACTTAATAAAACAGACAAAATATTAATAACGAATTAGAAGTTAATTTCATTCAAAAATACATTTAGTAATGAAAAACTACAAAGAGATTATTGTTCAACATTCCAGTTTTCTTATTGTCTCAATAAATTTGTTTTTTACAAAAATTTTACTAAATACATAAATTTTGGTTCATAAATATTGATAATTTTCTCAAGTAATTAAGTGCAAAATTATTTTTCGATCACAATAATCACCTTACTTCTTGTAAAACTTCTTTAGCTAAACGATATTTGGCTTCAATCAAATCATCATCTGTTAAGATACGATGAGGTGGTAGGAATTCTCGGAGTTGTACAAACTGTAAGAAAAAATAAATTTAATAAATTAACTAAAATCGAAATATATCTGTAAATGAAGTATAGCTAAAATATGTATGTTATAATCTTCTAAAAAAATATAGAATAAGATTAAAAAGGTATTACGTTTTCATTATCAAACAGATACATTTAATTTAAAATATATTCTATCCGATATTCGATACATCCAATTCAAATGTTCAACATTTCTGATATATATATATGTAACGAAATGAAAGAAAAGAGAGAGAAAGAGAAACTCTATAATTACCTGAACAATATCACGTTTTGCATATTTACCATTTACTTGTAACATTTGCCGATCAGAATCTAGAACTTTCATTTCACCAAAACTATCATAACCAACGCCAACAATTATTATAGATAATGGCAATGATGATGCCTGAAGTAATTGCTTTTCATCAATGATACAAAGCGGGAAATACTTTGAAATAAAGTAGTAAATTAAGAAATTAAAAATCGAAAGTAAATTTAGTAGAATTAAATTTAATAAATTATGAACACTGCACTTAATAATTCATTTATCATTTCTCGTTTCAGTAATTGTTTAACTAAAAGAAAAAAAAAGTATTCATTGCAAATAAATTCTTTTAATATATTGTTTATTGATAGTTGCGAAAAAAAATTTTTCATAGACACAGAAAAAAAAAAGAAAAAATAAAAAACGAAAGTAATACCTTTACGATTTCTTCTTTTGCTCTATTCATATCATTGATAACACCATCAGTGATTATTAAAAGAACAGAATATCTACTACCATCCGGTGGTAATGAAGCTGCATGTCGTGCTGCATGCCGTAATGTTGGTCCAAATTCTGTTGGACCAGCTAATTCAATTCTATTTAAAGCATCACGATATGCATCTAATAGGCCAGCCATACCAATACATTCTGGACTATTCGTAGTCAGATTCTAAATTTGTTGCAAAGATATTTATATCTTTATATCATTTACTTTTTTTTCATTTTTTCATTTCACTAAATTCTACTGTTATTATCAATATTTTCTAAAAATTTTCACGTATTATTCATATTTCTATCATTTATCATATTCTATTATGTTAGTAATTTGGTGATTACTTTAAGCATAATTTTTCATACAAATAAATTTGCATGGCTAAAATGCATCTGTTAATTTAATTTATTAATCTTTATTTTCAACACTTGTTCAAATTCCTTTTTTTTCCTTTTTTTTTTTTTTTTAATTAATCACTATTTCTTCCGATAAAAATGTTGTTGCTCGGAAAATTTTAAACTAGCTAATGTAAAATGTAAAAAAAAAAAAAAAGAAAATCGTTTATTTCAAATATTATTTCTTATTTACAGCTAATAAAAATTCAAATTGAAAGTTGAAAAATGACCAATTAAAATGTGGGCAATTAAACTGTTAGCCCCAAAAATGATATATCTCTTAAAGTTTTTTTTTTTCGTTTTTCTTTCTTTCTTTCTTACCTTTCCTTTTCTATGTTTCAAAAAAAAAAAAGTAGCGGAATAAAAGTAATTTGGATTGATAATAAAAACATTTAATAGATGCTCAATTTTTTCAAATTTTCATAATACTACCTTAACTTTTTTCGTTACTTAATACTCAAATGCTATTTTTCTTATGGAAAAGAAAAAAAAACTTTAAATTTTGATCTTCTTAGAAGATGATTTGAAAATTTAACAAATTTTTACATATGATAAAAGAAAATAATGCATAATTAAGGGAAGTAATACCAAAGGAAAATGAAAATTGACACGATTATCACCAGGTAAACGGGCACCAAAACCGTATGCATAAAACAATTGACTGTTATTATAATATTGACAAATTTCAGCAATTGCTTGAATGGCAATTTCATACTGACTAGCACTTTCATCATCAACATGATGTAATGATGCCATATTACCGGATGGTAAATTTGACTTCGTAAAATCAATTGCTACTGTAAATTCGAGCTCAGTTCTGAAAGTTTCATATTAAATTTGAAATACTTTTTTTTTCGTTTTGTTTAAGGTATTTTTTTCCTTTTTGTCATTATTTTAATTGTACTTAGTTATCCGATTTTTTAAATATCAAATTAAAATCTGAAAATTATTTTTAAATGTCAAATTAAAATCTGAAAAATGTTGAAATTGGAATAAAAACAATTTATCAAGAGATATTTTATCATTTTCACTTTTGGACTGATAAATAATTTTAACTTTGAACAATTGAAATTTGAACTATTACTATGCAATGTTTACGCTTAAAATATAAATAACATATTAAAAATGACGTTTAAAAGATTGATTACCCGCCAGTTATGAAGTCAAGAAAAGTGTAATCCATCCAACAATACACCTTATGAAAGTGAAGTTGTCCGGAATCAACATATTTCTTGTTTTTCTTCATCTTTTTCTGATTAACTAGCTAAAAGTCATTTACAGAATAAGCAACAATCCAATTGCTAATTATTATCCCAAAATTTTTTTGTTAACAAATTACGTATTTCTTGAACAACTTTAAGGTTAAATAATTATTTGAATATAATTTTCCTCTTGCCACTATCAAATTCCATGGCAAAAAATTTATTGAACATGGAAATTGTTTGAAGATATTGTTGAAATTAAAAATTTCCACATATATGGTCGAGTTGGTGCTCAGCTAAAGTTAGCATTCAAACAAAGTCTTACGCCTAACATTTAGTGTAATACTAGAGCTTATCGAAAAATGAAGAAAAAGAGTGATGAAAAATGCCTGTCAAAATTTGTCAAAGATTGAAATTTGTATTTTCCTAAATTTAATCAAAAGGTTAATTTGTATTAACCAATATATCCTAAAACCAATATATGGATATATCCTAAAATTTCATCTTAGATATTTCAAATGATCCGGAAAATCTTTGTCATTTGGAAGAATTTAATAGCAATGTATTTCAAAATATTAAGAAAATGATACTATCCAGTGATTACATATCAATATGCTGAATTACTAACCGGTAAAGTAACATCTTCTTTATTAAGCAACCTATTGACTGTGGTACGACAATTACCAACCAAATCATGGCTAAAATTATTATAAGATAATTTGAAATTTTTTTAAATTGAATTTTTTTTTTTCAAACCATTGAAAATTCAAATAAGCAATAACAATTAGCAACAATGTAACCTACTTTCCATCTTTATCCCAATCATAGCATTCGACGAGGAATTCCCTAAAATTAAAATTTTGCAAATCTTCTCTTTTGTTTTTCTTCCATGAATTCATCACAAAAATAATAGCAGAGGAAAAAAACTGTGTAATTGAAACTTTGAAATATTTACCGATCTTTATCACCATAGCAAAGTTGATCAATGTGTATCTCAAAAGGTTTCCATTTTGGATTCAAATTTTGCTCATGATAACGTGTACGGTATGCCAGCTGATATCTAAACACTTACTCAATTTAACTAAAATTATCACGAAATAAAAATATGCATCATCAAAAATTCAACATCATACAATTTTTTTTTTGATCATATTTTTAAAAAAGTCTTAATTTTATAATTACCTGATCTAATTTCTCAATTTCAATTGTTTATCCATTCACTTATTTTTCTGTTTTCTATTTTATTATTATTTTTTGATCCTATCTTCTTTAAAAAATTTGTTTGGATTCAAAATTTGAATATAAATTGCAAAAGAAAAAAAGAAAAACAAAAATGTAAACGGAAATTTAATGTTTTATCTAATAGTAAATCACTGAAATCAAAAATATTTCCTTAAAAATTTGTTTTCCCACTGGAATATAAAAATGTTATGTGTAATGGAAAGGAAAAATTTTTCCTTAAAACTTTTCGTCTTTTTTTTTTCTTTGCTCTCGTCAATATTTCAAAAATCTTTAAAATAAAAATTGTTAAGAATTAAATAATTTTTTATGATAGCAATTTGTTTCATAAAAAGAAATCAATATGTTATTAATAAATTTAATATATGATTCATAATAAAATAACAATGATTTCAGTTTATTGGTTTAATGGAAAAATTAATTGCATTGTTAAAGCTTATTGCATTCTTGTGTAATATATTATCAAATAAAAGCTAGCTATTATTTTAATGCTCATTTCTTCCCTTATTTTATTTTTTATTTTTTATTTTTTTTATTTTTTTATTGACAACTTATTTAGTGCTCATTCCTTTATATTTAATTAGGAGTGAGAATATTATGTTAAAGAAAAAAGGAAAAATTGAAGAAAAAAAAAGCAATTTTTTTTTTTCTTATGTCAAGCTTAAAATAGATCATTAAAATAGCAAATGTAAATTATCGCATCAAAGAAGCATTTAATCCAAGAATTGTTATGTTCTTGAACATATAAATATAGTGACAATTCAAAAAATTTTGAAAAGGAATAAAGGTTCATGACAATAAATGATATAATGGTTAGCTGTGAAAATTTTTCGAATAAACATTGAAGCTATGCTTTGAGGTGACATAATTACTGGTAAAAGCAATTATAGAATTTATTGTTAGACAAATTATGGTTGTTTAGCATTTGAAGAAAATTGTTAATGGAGAAAAAAATTTGTTACCTGGTGTTAATGACAATTTAAAAAAAAATTATCCCTTTGAAGTGTTTTATTTTCGCCTAATTTCCCGGTAATGAATGATTTTTGGAGCTAATATTGACATATAATGAAAAATGGATTGTTATGTGATAATTAATGATGATTAAGTTAATAGTTGGGGAGAAAAGAAATTTGAAAACTTCAAATCCTAATTTGTATCAAATGAGATCATTATCACTAATTGTTGGTTCATTTTTGCAATAGTTCCTTGAATGTTGACAATCAAAAATTTCAATACTTTAAAGTTTAATGGAATAGGCGCAATTTTTTATCATAACGTATGATCGTATAAATTAATGGTTCAAAATTTAAAACACATTGGATTATAAAATTTTCGCATTATCCTTCATATTTATCATAACTTACAACACCGAACTATACTACCAACAAATGTTTTGCTGAAAAAGTGCATGGGTAATTATCAGAAATCAGAAAATGCTTTTCAACGAATTTACTAAATCTTAAAGCAATAATTTTTATGATATGAAAAATAAGCAAACTTATTTTTCATTAGCAGATAATGAATACAAATTCATTGTCATGGTTACTAGTTTGATTAAAATGCTATGCTTTAAGCGTATTCAAAATAATTGAAATTAATGGATCAAAAATTTATTTCATTATGCACAAGTTACAAATATATATCGTATTTAAATTTAAAGCTCAAAATTTAATTCTTACGTTTTATCCTTATTGATTCGAGAGATTTTAAGAAACGGATCACATTTACCCAAAAAATCTTTCCTATCCAATTTTGTTGCACTACATAAGAAATACACCGATTCTTGCCTTCCTTTACTCATTTCTTCAGCCGCTACTATTAAGGTACCATAATTTTTTTCCATCTTTGCTGGAAAAAAAAAAACTTTTTTTTTCGTTAGTTTTTATTGCCAGTAAAAAAAATTACAAAATAAAAAAAAAATAAATGAACAGAAAAGGAAAAAAAAAAGAATCATGTATTAATGTTTTGAAAAATTACAAAATTTGGAATAAAAGTAAAATTCGTGTCTAAAAAATGTTTTAAAAATTTGAAATAATAATAGATGCGGAAAATTTATCAAAATCTTACTACAATTTGACCGTTTTTCTGTTACATTTTGAACCCAATATTTCATGTAGCAAAAGAGAAGCCGAACCAATTTGTGTTTTCTCCTTTCCTGGTCCTTTATCATACCTAAAAATTGGCTATAATAATTTAGACAAATACAAATAAATTGTGTTGAGGACTAAAATTAAAATATAACATTTTTTTTTTACAACTTTTCTCTTTTCAATATGAACCGCCAAATTTTCTTTTTTCTCTTTTTTTGCAATAATTTTCTTTTTTAAAATTTCAACTAAGCATCAATTTATAGTTTATTTAAACATACGCATATCATTTAATTTACTAATTACAGCTTTACTAATTATAGATGGCTAACTCTGATTTGCTTGATTAAACAAATTTTTGTATTTTTTCAAAAAGTAAAAAAAAAATTAAATGTTGTAATATTTGTCAAAATAATTATAACATTTGCAAAGTAATTATGCTACTATTAAAAATATTTGAAATAATTGTTTTTTTTCATACAATTCAAAAAGTATTCGTTGTTGTTCCTCAAAAAAATACGCAATACGTATTTTCGTAGCCCAATCAGGATTCAAACAATTGTTTATCACCTATAAATATCAGGTTAATTTTAAATTTAAAATGATAAGTTAGGTACAACCAGGATTAGATTGTGGATAAAAATTAGCATAAAGAAATTTACACTGATAATGATAGTGGTATTTATATGCATGAAATGTAATTTTAGCATTTTATTGAATTTAAATAATTAATTTTAGCATATCGATTGATAACATAATTGATAATTGCTAAACAAATTTGAATAATTTTAAACTATAAGTGTTTACTTCCGTTCGCCCAATTTCTTTCCAAGACCTGCATCGTACTAATCCGGCACTTGCTTCACTTACAATGCAAAAAGGATCACTGTAGGAATCGGTATCAACATCTTTGATATCTCTGAATGGTTATTTAAAATATGTTTTGAAATTAAAAATTTGCTAAAATTTGAAAATTTCACAGAAATTTAAAAAAGAAATTTTACATAATTTTTATACATTTTTTTTTCCAAATTTCAGGAAGATAATCATTTTTCTGTCTTTCATTTCAAACAAACCGTGCTGAAATAGTTAGTACAACATCGGAATAAGGTCGTCCCTGATCTTCAACCTCCATCACACGGCCACTTTGTTGCCTTTCGCTGGAAGTTCATTATTATTAATTTCATTTTTTGTTTTTT